GGTCTCTCACACACAAATGTTCATATGACTGTGGGTCGGGGCTCAATTAATGCAGATATCTGTCTCTCTGTTGTAACTAAATTGAGGGGGTTAGATCGCATCAACCCCAAGAACAAAATACTGATAATAATAGTGATCTGAACCTACAGTAGGTTACTGCTTTGGAATCGTGCTTTATATTAAATTATAGTATTTTATACAGTCTGTTTCGGTCGTTCATCTTTCTTCCCCCCCCCATTAGCATGTCTCACTGGTACATGGAAGAAGAGTGTACACACACCTACCCACCCCACACACAGTGAAAACACCATCATCACTGACCGTTTGGAGCAACGATTTACAGTTGATTACAGAAAAACGTCAGTCAGTTTTGAAATTACAGTAGTAATCTCCACTTGCCCAGAGCATCTCAGGAAACTCTTGAGGCCTCTCAGTTTAATTAGTATAGGAGCCATTTATCACCTCACACATTCTTGACAAATTGACAATATTGCTAAGTTAGCCCATTAAAATGTAGAGAGGTTACTGTCTGGGATAGCCAGGTTCAGCCCCCCCCATCCTGAAAATTTATAAAATTGTTCTGAATGGCAAAAAAAAGTTACGAGAGGTAAATTAAACTAAAACATTAATTCATTAAATATTTGAACAAAGAATACTTTTGTTTTATTTTAATCCTTTTAAGTACGATCAACACTATTTCAATCAGCACTGTGAGGAAGAGCAAATAAGAGACTGCAGAGCACCTTGGCACACCTACTACGCAGATACAATCTAGTGAAATAATGAATCTAGTTCACACTACATTAACCCGTTTTGAATGTAAAAATAATCCTGTAAAAAGCGAGTAGCATTATATGGCACTAACCAGCTATTTCAATAACTATCATTATGCATGAACCACCTGTTGGAAACTGTTCATCCAAACAGGCTCAAATGCAGAAGTTGGAAACAAAAGATATTCTGGCAAAAAAATATTGTTATGTACAAGTTTCTATGGAGGCTCCAACACTGGACACATGATATTAGAAACGTCACACACACACCAAGGATATTTTTGTCAATATAATTTTTTTTAAATTTAATTTTCTTGGTCCACTTAATCCTCCCATCCTATTCCCAACCAATTACATTCCTTACAATTTTAGCCAGTCTTCGGTAGCTTTTAATGCAAGGCAGGTCTTCATATTTTTGTATTTCTCTATACTTAGGGTTAGAGATAGAAAATTGGAGAGACTCAAGAGAGTGAGACAAAAAGACCCAGGGAAAAAGAGTAAAAGAAAAGGAGTTTATAGGGTGTGGTACTAATTATGGTGTTTAATCACTAAAGGAACAATTTCTTAGTTAGCACTGTATCCAACTTGTACAATTAGGCAATAGAAAGCCAATACAAAGAATTGTAATTGTCTTTGATTGAAATCTGTGTGGGATTCATGATGAAAAATAGTGAGCAGAATACAATGGGGAGGGGAAGTGGCAGGGGGTGCAAGAGAGGAAATATCCTCAGTGTGCCTGGAGTATTGCAGTTATCTGGAGATTAACTTTGTAAATCACAGTCGTGATTGCAGTCACCATTCTGCGTTCCGATAAAAGCATTGTACATTTTAGTTTTATAAAGCCGGAAAGAAGAAAGGAAACAAACATGAACTTCTAAAGAATCAGAATCATCAATTACGAAGGTACATCTATGGAGCTTTCCTCTGGAACTCAAGATGCGAACATTAAGTGAATATGCCTAACTTGATGAAAAACTAAGCTGAATATTACAACAAAGCAAACTGACTACATTATTGCCAATTTTCTATTGAAAGAGCTGGCAGTGAGAGCATTTCGATGAGCAGTAAAAAGAATTCAGGTTATCAGCCTAAGAAAAGCAAAGACACGCATGCCACTGAGCTTAAGAGAGAGAGAAAAAAACACAAGGAGAAGCCAAGTGGTTTGTAAGTTTTCCAGCGTTTATATATTTGGATAATTTTCCCTCAGGCCTTTGGTTATGACTGAATGCACCCAGCTGAAAAACGCTGATCTTAAAATAATTTTGTGGATATATGCTTCCAAGCAGTTAGCGATGCATGTGTATGCAAAAAGAAAAGTGAAGAAAAAGGAAACCGAAGCTCACCGAGAAACTTTAAAGCACCCAAGCATTCACATTGTTATGCAACGAGTCGTTACGATCAAGTTAAATCGGTTAGAAATTTGGAATCTATTGGCACCTCCATTTGTGTTCAGCTTACTCACGTAGAAATGCAGCACAGTAAAAATAATTCTGAAAATAATGAACATTCTGTAATATTGACTGCTTATACAGTAGAAAGAAACTCTCTTTCAATATTAGCCAAATTGCAGCTCGCATTATCACTATGGCTACTTGTAATCTACATGGGCCAGGCACAGATCATCAACTTCAAACCATGATTATTTATTAAAGAATTAAGCTGATATTACTGTATTCCTTTTTGACAATATCATTGTTCAACTATCTGCATTTTATTTCATATGAAAGCGAAGCAAAGGAATTCCTCCCTTTACTTTATTGCCAAAAATATTAAATGAGGTAATTCACCCAAGCTGTACATGTTAGCGATACTCTTAAAATGCACATTGTTACATAATCGGCTGAATTAGAATAGTTCAGACTGCCACGCATCCCAACATCCACTTTAAAAAGAGCTATTGCAGATTTTCCCCCTGGGATTTAATCACATTTAAACCAGAATCTTTTTACCCTCAAATATAAAGGCTATTTTGCACAGTGCAAAACCTGAAATATAGATGTTAATAGATCCATTTTTTTCTCCAAGCAGCCCATAATAAAAAAAAGGTCAAATTTGGTACATGCCCACTTCCAAGATACTAGTATGAAAAAAGTCTTAAAAGCTTGACAAAATGTTTATCTTAAAATCTTATTTATCCGGTGCTATTGTTTCCCTCATAAATATGGTACGTCAGCAGTTTTAAAAAAAGAGTAAACACAAAGACCAATGGTTTCATACAATTATTGGATTTTGACGTCCTGACAATAAATAGCACTGTGCCTTTGCAGTATTCCCACAATCATCCTTTAATGATATTTAACCAAAAATATGTCATTTCCAGCAGATGAACAGCAATATTTTATTCAGGCATATTTAAAATTAAACCAACAATGCAAATTTCAGAGTGTAAAATTTCAATCTGTTCAGTCCACATTAAGGTTTTAACACATTTTACAAAAACAGTTTACTTAGGGTTTTTTTTAAAAAAAATAAAAATGAGCTAATTTACACCCTCCTTCCAAACACACAATCTTCCACAGAGAAATCGAGCCAGTTGCGGTTTCATGCATCACAGTCCAGAGCGTGCTGAAAAACCATCTACTTCCCCACATGGGGATTCACAGGCAGAAAACTGCTCAATTCCACCCAAACTAGAAGGTGGTTTTTAGCCTGAACTAATGACCAGTCTGTGAGAAGCACCAATTTGATCCTCATTACTGTCCCCTATCAGGGCTCATTTGCTGTGCGATTTTTGAAACTAACAGCCGGTATTTCCTGATTAGACCATATCCAAGTAGTGCCAAGGGACCAGTAGAGAGGGTCTTATTCTAATGACGGCTTCTTCTGGCCTGCAGTGTATTCTGAATAGCTATCAAATTACAATGCGTCTTCTCTGATCTGGATTTTCAGTTTCCACTTCCTGCTCACAGTATCTGATGCGGGACTACTTGGGACTCTTTCTGGTTAAAAACAAAATTTGTTCCAATGTTGTGTGGTCAACCTAAACAAGTCGTGTTTAATAACCGTAAAGAATATGTTCTGCAGAGCATTATGATTTGTGACATCAGGTTTTACTAGCATTTATCAGGCAGATATTTACACGACTCAGAAATCATCTTTACAAGATGTGTATGGAGGAAAGGGGCAACAGAAACTCTATTACAACCATGACTGGTTGATTTTAATTATCTCGCCAATTATAAAACAAGCAAAGCAACAACTCCACAATATGCGAAACAGCCCATGAATCCCGAAATAAATCATTCAACATTAGGATCAGATTTCTTTTTGCCTTTAAAAAAAGTACTGCTTTTTTCATTACAAAATTGTCGTCTCAGAAAAAAATTGAAACTGCCGTATTAACATATAACTAAATTATGATTCAAATACGGGTAGAGGAAGTGTGGCATTTAGCTTATAAATAGTAAGGACCTGTAACTCACAAGCAGACAAACTTGACAAAATCTGGTTAGGTCTTATATAAAAAAAAACTTAAAATGCAGTTGTTAGTACAAAGCCTAACCGCCAACAGTCATGGTTTATTTTTTGATCTTCACACCCATGAAATTCAGACCCCGTGCCCCAAAGGGTGAGATTAACAATCATGATAAGTAGAATATTGAACTGATGAACTCACTACCATAGTTCTTTCACAGGGGTGAAAGATATGTAAAAAAACATAACACTGCACATCAGAAGAATTATATTTCAACTGTTATAATATTTTGAATTTTTGCTGATATAAAATATCACTATAGTGTGGAAATATCCTCAACACCAACTAGGGATATTGAATTCGATCTGCTTTGATATAGATATAGTATTGCCTTAGTACATTTTCCATGATCTTATTTTATATGTTAAACCCTTTGATACTTGAATGCAGAAGCCCCCCATCTCTAGTTAATATTTTTTCATGAAATAAATTGTCATTTTTTATCTTTACGTCACATATTCATCAAAAGTAGCCACTTCTAGTATGTCATTCATATAATGTAGAATCAATTCTTGTAACAAAATGTGTTAAAACCATCACAATTCCACTGTCAAGGTTGCAACCCAAGCGCTCAGCAAATGCAACACTAGCCCTTAAGGAATTCAACAACCCTATCAGTATACAGCCTTCCAATTCTTCCTGTATGCACTTCAGTGATGAAATTCATACTTCAACTGGATCACACCATAACATTTTCAGGTAACCAAACAGAATTCCTTAATATTCCTTCCAAGTAATTGATTGAATCTTACCTGTTTGTGCATTTCTATATTCAGGCCGTAAGACATTTCATAATACTGTGGAAGGCAAAGCAATACGACAAATTACTTGTAAATTCACAATTCCGTGAGCACTATCACAGAATAAAATAATATAAAGAGGCCTCGAGTTGTTTTGTGCCAAACCTCCCTCCCATTACAAACAATTACACAAGAGTCAAAAAGAAAAAGATCACCCTCTTCTATTTTCGGACTTACCATGACATAATGGCGTTGCATTTCTGTCTTTTCACTGGCCAGCTTTTCACATTCCAGTTTCAAACTGTTTAAAGAAAGAAAAATAGTTCAAAGCACATTTTATATGTGGACATTTTATATGTGCTGCCGGCAATAGTTCTTTCTACATAAATGATCCTTCTCGGATCATTAGAAGTGGTGCATTACTAACACAGGATACACCTAATTAAGGGCTGTACAGCACACATTTTTCTCGAAATTATTTATGACGCCCACTCTAAGTATATGCAAAAAGAGGAGAGGACAGATTGAAAGACTTAACATTTTATCAAATGGAAATACGAAACGCAACAAACGTGACCCCTGAAAAAGAGTTATTTCTGGTCAGCAATAACTGCATTAAAATTTAGGATCAGAAATGGGATGGATTACCATTTTCTTATCAGAGGAGGGAGGGTGGGGGTGGGTGGGGTGGGGGTGTGGGTGGAGAATACATTTGTGCATAACTAGAAAAAATAGTCACACGATTTATTTTTACTCGATAAACATGTAGGAAACGGTTCCAAATGCAGGAACTTTTTTTTTAAAAAAAAAAACCTGCAACTGCAGCCCAACATCTGCTGGAAATATGAAAGTGAACTGAACTGGTGGCGGGTGCGAGAAATTAACAAAAGGGGGAAAAAGAAAAACCCCTCTGCGATCCCCACTGAGCATCACACGGACCTCCTGCAGCCGACCATTTAAAGGCTTGAAATAAATATACTAACTGGATAAGTTGGTGCTCCCAACCGGTCAGTGATTTTCATCACGTTTTGGGGGTCTCTCTTCTTTTTTTTTTAAAATGGGAATAAAAAACCGAGACAGCTTCACCCCCTGGAAACCTGGCAACGGTTACCCAGGGAGGGAGAGGGGCTGCAAAGAGCGCTCCTCGGCCGTCACACGGGTGTGAGTGGAAGTATAAATGAATTCGGAAAGAGAAATAAAAGGGGAATAACGTGGAGCGAAGTTGTGTTCCTTTTTACATCCCAAAACGTCTAAAGCCTTTGGCGCTCGCGTTTCGTGTCACATCTCTCGCTGTGTTGTACCGACTCTCTCCCCTCCTCCTCCTCCTCCTCCTCCTCCCGCCCTCACCTCGAGCAACAGAACAAAACAAAACACCGTCGTCTGACGATTAAAACGACACCTCTCAATCCGGTGCTTTCGGTAAATTCGGAACGGGATGAATGACGACGCGACTGGAAAGCGGCGGCAGATGTCGGGGCTTCGCACCGGGAAGAGGTTCGCACCCACTCCCCAACACCCCGTCTCCGACCAGAGCCCCGGGGGAGTGGGGGGGAAATCACTCACTCCCCACTGAACACCTACCTCCGGCGGTGGGGGAGACAGCCCGGGGGTGGCACCGGGGCTCCCGCGGAGCCAAATGTCCATCGCCACATCAAAATACACTGCCGGACGGACTTGCGGCATCGCGCGGGATGGTTGTGCGGGTGTGCGGGTGTGTGGGTGTGCGGGTGTGTGCGGGTGTAGGTGTGGACTGTGCGGCCGTGTGTGTACCTGTGGTACTGCGCTTGCAAAAACTGAAATTCCTCCTTGATGCGGTCGCACGATTCGGAGATGGTGAATTTAAAGGGCTGAGCCGGCTGGTGAGGAGCCTGCAAACCCAAACACACACACACACAGCGAGCATCAGCACTGACACCAACTGGGAACAACCGGACGGGCATCTTATTCATCGCCATTTGCTTAACACGAACCGAGAGAGCGCGCAAACGTAAACAGTGTTACTTCGCACGTCCACAAATATTTATTCAAAGGCTATAATTAAACTCGTGCGGAGAGAGCAGCGAAGCTTTCGCATATGCACGTCCGTGACATCTCAGCAAAACACAACACAACACAACACACACACACACACATAAACACTTACGGGATGTCTGGCTTGAGGATACATCTCGCCCCCGAGATTTTCGTTTTCAGTTTGGCAGGTGATTTTGTGTCATTGAGCGAGTGAGTGAGTGAGTGAGTGAGAGCCTCGGAATTGATTCAACAACCGAAAGAGGGCGGAGGGGAAGTGGGGGGTAAAACCCAAAAGAAAACACACACTGACACGCGCGCGTGAGAAGTGAGAGAAAGGAGGGAGGGAGGGAAGGAGGGTAAAGAAAGAGGTCAAATGGCTGTGTGGTGTCGGGGGGTGTGGGTGTCGGGGTGTGTGGGGTCGGAGTGTCGCTGTGTGGTGTCGGGGGGAGTCGGGGTGTGTGGTGTCGGGGTGTGTGTGTGGGTGTCGGGGGGTGTGTGGGTGTCGGGTGTGTGGGGGTGTCGGTGGGTGTGTGTGGGTGTCGGGGGTGTGTGGTGTCGGGGGTGTGTGTGGGTGTCGGGGGGTGTGTGGGTGTCGGGGGTGTGTGTGGTGTCGGGGGGTGTCGGTGTCGGGGGGTGTCGGTGTCGGGGGGTGTCGGTGTCGGGGGGTGTGTGTGGGTGTCGGTGTCGGGGTGTCGGGGTGTGTGTGTCGGTGTCGGGGGGTGTGTGTGTGTGGGTGTCGGGGGGTGTGTCGGTGTCGGGGGTGTGTGTGTCGGTGTCGGGGGGTGTGTGGGTGTCGGGGTGTGTCGGGGGGTGTCGGGGGGTGTGTGTGGGTGTCGGGGGGTGTCGGTGTCGGGGTGTCGGGGGGTGTGTGTGGGTGTCGGGGGGGTGTCGGTGTCGGGGTGTCGGGGGGGGTGTGTGTGTGGGTGTCGGGGGGGTGTCGGTGTCGGGGTGTCGGGGGTGTGTGTGTCGGTGTCGGGGGGGTGTGTGTGGGGTGTCGGGGGTGTGTGTGGGTGTCGGGGGGTGTGTCGGGTGTCGGGGGGTGTCGGTGTCGGGGTGTCGGGGGGTGTGGGGGGGGGGGTGTGTGTGGGTGTCGGGGGGTGTGTGGGTGTCGGGGGGTGTGTGTGTCGGGGGGTGTGTGGGTGTCGGGGTGTGTCGGGGGGTGTCGGTGTCGGTGTGTGTGTGGGTGTCGGGGGGTGTGTGTGGGTGTCGGGGGGTCGCTGTGTGGTGTCGGGCGGTGCTGTTCGGCTGTGACTGTTGCGCCTTCACCTTCCAGAACAGCGCGAGCGAACAATGGGCAACAAAGTGCAACACTCGCAGACGGAACCCCCGGGACAAAGGTTGGAATCTTCCCTCTCGGAGCGTCGCGGAGTCCGGGATTCCAGGCGGTGGGTTCGGATTCCAGGCGGCGGGTCCTCTTCTCCACTCCCCCCCTCTCTCTCTCTCGTCCTTTTCCCCTCTTTTCCCCGGGACAACGCAAACAGAGAGAGAGAGAAAAAGCCCCCGACAACAATAACAACAACGCCGAGCGACTGCGGCCACAGAGAACTACAGCTTTAGTTCAAGCTCGTGAGCTCGTTTGGCTGGAGAGCGAGTCGAGTCGAGTCGAGCCGAGCTATCACCGCAGCCACAGAGCTACAGTGAGTTGCAAGCCACAGCCCGCCTTGCCTGCCTGTCCGACCCACAACCACCGCCACAACAAACACTTCCACAAGCACCAGTCCGAGGAGAAACGGCTTCCAAAGATATGCGACGACTCGTGTTTTGCTTTTGCTCTCTCTCTCTCTCTCTCTCGTTCTTCTGTCTCTCTTCGTCCGCTAATAGACACGAAAAGTACATACAGCGGATGTGTTTTTCCAACAAAAAAAAACCCTTTCGTGTTGACCAAACGTTAGAAGCGCTGTGTCATTAACATTCTTACATATTCACACCCTCCTCCCCCCCCCCTCCACCGAAGCTCAACTTCACTTCAACGAGGTGGTGGTGGAAGGAGGAGGAGGAGGAGCAGCGGCGAGGGAGAGGGTGCCAGACTCGCACGGTGGGTGGAGTAGAGCAGAGGGAGGGGGTTGGGGTTGTAGCTCAGGTTGCACGCTGGTTGTTGTAGTCGCTGCATCGTGTCAACCCCGGCTGAGACCCCACTGACATCATCGCTCTGTCTCGTCCCACTTCCCCGCCGTCCCCTCGGTGAGGACTACACTTCCCGGCATGTCCCGCGGGCTTTGCCCACACCGGCCCCGCCCTCCTCGTTATCAAACACGGAATGATTGACAGCCGCCGCCGCCAACGGGAGCCCGGCGAGAGGCGGGGTTTGGTGACGTGCTCAGTTCTGACACGGTCGGCCAATGGGCAGGTGGCGGCGGGTGCGGGGTGGGGGGGGCGACGGGGATTTGATTGACGGGGGGGTATGAGGGCGGGGCTGCCCCGGCGGCTCCAGCCAATTGCCGGCCGGCCCACGTGGGGCAAAGCCGACGTCATTGCAGGGGCAGCCAATGGGGCGGGGGGTGGGCGGGGCCAAGGGGGGGGACGGTCATGCGCGAGGAGTTGGCAGAGAGGGCGGGAGGGGACATTTGCTCATCTGTCAGTCAAAGTAACGTGGGTCCCTCTCTCTCTCTCTCTGTGTGTGTGTGTGTGTGTGTGTCCCGTGACAGCGGAATGCTTTCCTCCCCGTTTCTCTGCTCCGTCCCCATCCGAGCGCCGCGCGGAATGCTGCTAATTGGGGGTCGAATGTCTCTTTGCAAAATACTCGAGCAATCTGTCATTATAGGGTATTACGAGAGAGAGAGGGAGAGAGAGAGAGAGAGGAGCACTGAGAGGCTCTCAGCCAACCGACCCGCGAGCAGAGAAAGGGCAGAGAGAACGACACCCACAGAGAGAGAGAGAGAGAGAGAAACATACACCGGAGCCCCTTCCCGGTGGTTGACGCACACGCGCGCGTTTTTTTTTCCAACATAACTTTTTTTGCCTCAAATATTTGTTTTAACGCCCCCCCCCCAAAAAAAAAAGTCGTCGTCGTCGTCCGTCCTTCCCCCCACCACACCCCTCCCTCCCCCCCCCCACACACCCCTCCCCCCATTCAAAAAAACAAGCAAATGGTAAATGACACCTCGTCGGGGTTGGCACTGACGTCGCGCGCTCCTTTCCTGCCCACATCGCGTTGGCTTTCATTGGTTTCGGTTTTGCTTTGCACCGGAGCAAATCTTTTTTTGGGAGGGGAGGGGGGAGATTGAGGGGATAATCGCCGACATCTCCCTCCCATCAGTTGCCCTCTTTAAGCGCCTCCTGACCCCCCCTCACGTCTCCGGGCGCGGCCCCGGTTTGAACGCTCCCCCCAAACCTCCCCCCTCCCCCCCCCCCCCCCACACACACACACACACACCTTCAGCACCGAAAGAAAACGATCGAAAGGGGACGAAAGCGGAAACGCAAACCGATTAAAATGCAGCATCGCCCGCAACTGCGGGTCCGGGGGCTTAAACATTCATCTACAGGGGCAGGAAGGCACAGAAAGGGGGTGAAAGTGGGGGGGGGTTATTTGCCTATAACGTTACGCTGAAATAAATGGCTGTCTGTCGTGTGAAGCGATCTGATGGGAGAGGGAGAGGGGAGAGTTAATGTCCGCTAAATAATATCCTTTATGTCTGTGGCTTCCTGCAGTCAGAGCTCAGTCCCACACACACACACACACACCGCCACCGCCACCGAAAAAAAAAGTGAATGGAGGGCGAGAGGTGGGAAGGAGTGCAGTCACTGCCTTTGTGTTCTGCCTTTCGTCGTTGCCAACATTTTCGCTCATAATGCGCTATAGATTCCTTCCTTTCGCCGGAAGATTACCCCCATCACATCGCGGCCTTCCCTCTGAGAACAAAGTGGGTCCCTTATGTGTTCGGGGACACTGTTGCCTTTTTTTTGTTCTTTTTTTCTTCTTCTGGTTTCTGTTTACATTCTGCGCCATCGCCACCTTTTTTTTTGTTTGGGGGGAGGGTTTGATTCCGGGGAAGGAGCTGCACTTAAAAACAAAGTGCCATTGTGTTCGTTGGATTTGTTCGCATTCTGACTCTCTGCCAACAACATCATAAGGTGAAATAAATGATCACTGTTCCCGACAAAACTTTTCCCGTCTGTCCCCCCCCCCCCCCCCATACCAGGAATATAAAGCACACTGTTGCTGCAACTGTGCCCCAATGACTGGGACAAGGGAGAGAGCACAGTCAAAGGGTACGACGTTTCCCCCCCAAAAAAAAATGCGGTCACTCGATCCGCCGCTGTTTGTGGGACGGACGCTGCTGCGCGCAATTGGCTGCCGCGTTTCGCCCACAACGTATACAGTCAATTCACCTTCCGGTATGATCTGTTCTCGAAGACGCGATAAGGCGCTATGTCAAATGCAAGTGTTAGTATTACTAGTTGTGGGCTCCACCATCAACTCCCCTCTTCCATCTTTCCCTCTGATTTTGAATATGTGAGGAGGCTCATGGATTTCTTTGTGACAAAAATCAAGGCCATCTGCTCTGACATCTCAGCTAGAGCAGATCTTTCTCTCTCCACACCTTTCTTTACCCCCGGCCCTTTATTCGTTGCTTCTATCATGCTCACCGGTCTCTTCCCCCAACTACTCTCTCACATGAAGTATACTATTTATACCTCAATCATCCACCAACCCAGTTTCTGGCTGCCCAGCTATGCATTTTAATTGATATTATTCATTCTGTATCCTCAGGAACTATCCCTCGCCATTTAAAAGCAGCTGTCATCAGCCCCTCCCTTCTTAAAAGAAACTACCATCTTGTTGCCGCCCAACTATGGAATATAAAATAAGACGGTGTTTGTCCAGTTCTGCAGAGCACTGGTGATGGGTTTCCGCATATGTCAGACACCTGACTGACCCAAAAAATCTTAAGAAGGATGTACTCACCTCGGAAGGTGTCCAGTGATAGTTCATTACTACTAATAATAATCCTTGCATGTGATCAAGCGCCTTAACATGAGATGTGTCAAAGCGCTTCACAGGATGTTCTGTAAAGTGGTGTGACCGTGTGTTTTGTGTGTAAATACAGGAGCCAATTTGTGCACACAAGTGTCCCTCAACAGGCATGGTGTGAGTGATCAATATTATGTGGGGTTAGTCGGCCAGGATCCCCAAAATAAACTGTCTTCTCTTTTCAAACAGTGCCATGGAACTTTGATACCCACCTCGCCGGGGCGAGGGGACCTTGGTTTAACATCTCATCCGAAGGACAGAATCTCTGACGTTGCAGCATTCCCCCGCACTGCATTGGAGGGTCAGCATAGACTTTATGAGTTGT